ATATTACATGCATTAATTTGACTTAATATAAATACAAAAGTTTGCAATATATTGAAGGTAATTTTTAATTTCACACTAGGATTTATTTAGAAAACATTTATTAGTGTGTGACTGTTTTTTTTTCAAAGTTTTGTCATGACGGACAGGGTTAAGATTGGTGGTTTTTTATATAATAAAAAGGCATAATATTCATTCTAATGAGAACTAAAATTATATCCCTTTTTAAGATAATAAATAAATTTCCTTCATAACATTCCAACAGTTTTTTTTTTTAAAAAAAAACATATTGAATAAAAATTTTTGGGGAGTTTATGTTTATAAAAAAAAGAATTCAAAAAAAAAATTATGCCTGAAAATTTCAAATATAACAATTTTCAGACTTAGCATAATTTAAATAATGAAAATCATGTTAAAATTGAATTTTTTTTTTGCATGGTTCTTGTCGAAGAGGTTTTTCCGGAAAAACAGAAAATCAGGAAAAAATTCTTCATGGAAATTAACACAATTGAATACTTAGGTTAAACAACATTTTTGTTTCTTGAATTTTACTCTCTGATGACGAAGTTTGAAGGAGGAAAAATTTTTTTGAGAATGTGAGCCAAACCAATCTCTACATCTTTTTATTTATTCTTTTGAAGAAAAAAAAGTTAACATTTACAAATTTTCCTTCCAATAACTTTTATTTGACATTTAAAAGAGATAAAATCCCAACAAAATAAATCATCTGACATTTACAATTTTCTTCTTTTACTCAGTAAATGCAAATTACAGTAAAGTTTTCCGAATCTTGTCATTTTAATTTACTTCTCATTTTTCAATAATTTTCATGACCTAAAAATTTTTCTTTGGCCAAAAAGGATTTATGATTCTAAGTACTGTATAAATTTTTGTAAATTTGTATTCAAAAAATGGTTTTTTTTTTTCGATCAAACACCCAAATGCTTTTCATAACAGGATGATTGTTCACAAAGTGACAATCAATCATGTTCTCTGTTTTATTGATCTCTGGTAAAAGTACCTAGATAAGTGATGCTATTATCAGATTTGACTGGTAAAATTCTTTAAAATTAAACTGAATTGTTAGATAATATTTTTTTTTCATTTTTTTTTTTTTTATTGGACAATCTTTACAATAAGTTTTTTGTTACCGTCCTTCCCCCAAGATAAATGTTAATTAAAATTTTTTGTTAAGACTTAAAAATGTTAAAAAAAACATTATTCCAGGAAAGAAAATCGAATTAAAAAATACTTTCATTATAATTTTGAAAACTCTACTTTTAATTAAAAAAACATAAGGGAAACGGGTTTTCAAATTTTTTCATGCAAATGAGTTTTGAAAATTTGCCTCGTTTTTTTGATCCAGTGTTCATTTTGAAGCTTTTTTAATTTGTTATTAGATTTGAAAAATGTTGTCAGAGATTTATTTTCTAGAATTTTTTGAAAATTTTTTTTTTGGAAATTATTAGAACAAGTAAGACATCCTTCCATAAATGCCCCATTGGCCAACAACAGCAAAATAACAAGTGTGATCGTTGAAGATAAAGAGGTTTGATTTCAATTTATTGAAAGTGAGTAAACAGCAAATTTCATTTTAACTGTTTTTTTTGGCGAAATACAACTGATAAAGTCAGGACATTTTGGGTTTTTTATAATGTTTGTAAGATACCAACAAAGGGTTAGTGTTGCTGAGATACATTTTAATTTAAAAAAACACTTTTATTTGAAAAAAAAAATAAAAGAATGGACCTCAGAATGAAATATAACCATTTTTTTTTAAATCTTTTTGAAATCAAGGCTTAAAAGTTTAAAATTTTTAATTTTAATTTTCATTTTCAGACCAAGAAATCTTTTCTAAAATTAAACTAAAATTGATTATTTTGTAGAAATTTTTTTTTTTTTTTTGAAAAAGAAACTTTTTTTTTTAACATTTAAATTTAGTTTAAATTCTGTTCAGAATTTTAAATTTTTGCCAAGAAATTTTTTATTAGACAAAATTTTTTTTTTTAAATTTATTTCTTTTAAATCAATAAAAATGATTTATAAGGTTTGTTTAAAATGACAAATTAGGATGCTATTAGATTTTTAAAAAATGTATGCAAAGTCAAATGTCCAGATGTAAATGGAAGGAGAAAAATTGAGTCTTTTGATTTAATCAAAAAGAAACAAACAGCCAATTTTTTTATAATAAGATTCATTTCCTTTTTTTAGTTTCTTTATTCTATTTTAACATCCTTTGAATCTTTTTCTTTTACGAAAGGAATAAAAAGAAAACTTCAATTTTAGGAAATTTAGAACTTTTTTTGATTTTGAGGATCTCCTTTTGAGATCCTTTCAAAATTTCCTTTTTGCTTTTTTTACCAAAGCAAAATTAGAAAAATTTTAAAATTATTTACATTTCTTCAAGCCTTTTCTATACTTTCATGACATTGTTTTCTTTTCACTTTCATTTTTTCTTTTCTTAAATTCAAATTTTTTTTTTCTTTTTTGAAGAATTTATTCTTTTTAAGAAAAATTGATTCTTTCTTTCAGCAAGAATTAACATTTCAAGATAGACCATAGTTCTGATAATTTTTGATGTCTTTTAAAAAAAATTTTTTTAAATTTAACATTTTCTTTCTTTTCTTTAACATCTTTTGGGAAATTTGGATTTTGTATAAAAATTTTTATTTTTTATCTTTATTGAAATGGTTTGAGTTCTCTATTTCTTTATAGAAAAAAACTTAAAGTTCATGAAAACAAACCTTTCTTTATTAATTTTATTCTTAAATTTCTTTTCTTTCTTTCATTCATTTATTTTCTTTATTTCTTTCATTTTCTTTTTTTTTCTAAAAACAATGATCCATGAAATATTTGTTTTTAATTTATTTCGTTTCTCTTCAAAAAACATCTTTGTTTGTCAAGAAGACCTCTTTATGAAATTTTTTTTTAGTTCATTTATAGAATATAGACACAAAAATACTTTTTTTTCTTTTCTTTCTTTAAAAAATAGATAGACCAATTTAAAAAAAATTGTTTTTATTCAGATGGATGTTTCAAAAAAGAAAAATTTTTTTTAAAAAAGGATTTTTTAAAGTCTTTTTTGTTTTCCCAAAATGAAAATTATATTAGATTCACAAATTTATTTCGTCTGTATCGGGCAAGAAATGGACTGTTAGGAAAAAATAAAGAATTTGTTTCAGGTTTGTTCTTCATTGACACCTCATCTTGACCTCTTTCTTGACAATTTGGATAGACTGTTTTAAAGGAAATTTTTGTCTTTCTTAAAAAAAAAAAAATGATTTTCCCCTTTTTTATTTATTTGTGCCACATCTTTAAAGGTCTTCTTTTGTCTTCATTTTTATTTTTTTTTTTCTGGATTTTTTCTTTTTATTTTGTTCACACACTTTTTTATTTGAAAATTTTATTTCTATCATTGATTTTTTTTTTATTTTCTTTCACTTCTTTCTGTTTTGTAAAAAATCTCTTTTTTCTAAACATTTTTTCTTTCTACGTTTCTTTAAGAACAGTTCTTTGCTTTATGTTCAGATCAGATTTTATAGATTTTCTTTTGTTTCTTTATCCTTTTTCTGAAGATTCTTTTCTTTTATTTTCATTTCTAAATTATTTTCTTTTATTTTCTTTGGATCTTCTTCTTTTTCTTTTTTTTTATTCCTAATTTTTAAAATATATTTCTTTAAAGAAATCTTTTTTTTTTTTTTTTTCTCCATGACAGGTCTTGTTTTTGAATGCCAATTTTTTTTCCATTTATTTTATTTTCCAGATTGTAAAAAATTTTTTTCTTTTTTTTTTTTATTTGGAGTTTTTTCTGTTTTTTCCATTTCATTTCTTTTTTTTCTTTCCAATTTAATTTTTTTTTTGTTTCTAAAAGAAAAGACTTTTATTTCAATTTTTCTAAATTATTTTCTTTTCCTTTTCTATTTTTTTTTTTTTTGAAGCACAAGTTTCTTTCTTTTTCTTTTTTTTTTTATTTTTTTAACAAAAGGAGGAAATTTTTTTTTTGAATTTTTTTTTTTCTGACTTTTTTTTTATTTTTCTTTCAAAGAATTTTTATTTTCTTTCTTTTTTTCTATTTTCTGAACTTTTTTTCTTTTCATTTCTTTATTTTTTTCAATTTTCTTTTATCATATTTTCTTATTTCTTTCCTTTTCTATTTTTCTTTTTTTTTTTTACATTTTTTTTTCTTTTTTTCTCATCTTTTTTAATTTTCTTTCTTTTCTTTTTTCTTCATTTATTCATTTTCTTTTTTTCTTTTTTCTTTTTTTTTCAATTTTATTTCTTCAGTTAAATTTTCTTTTTTAAAAAAATCTTTCAATTTCTTTCTTTTCTTTCTTTTTTTTCTAATTTTTATTTTTTTTTTATTCATTTTTCTTTTTTTTTTTATTTTTCTTTTTTTTTTTGAATTTTTTTTTTTCTTATTTTTCTCTTCTTTTTTTCTTTTTTTTTCTTTTTCTTTAATTTTCATTTTCAATTTTTCTTTTTTTTTTTCCTTCTTACAATTTTTTTTTTAGTGTGAATTTTCTTTCTTTTTCTTTCTTCTTTTAATATCCTTTCTTTTTTCCCTTTTTTTTTTCTTTCTATGGATTGTCGTCTCTTTTCTCTTCTTTTTTTCTTTTCAATTTTTCTCTTTCTTCATTTTCTTTCTTTCTTTTCTTTTTTTTATTTTTTTTTATCTTTTTTTTTTCTTTTCTTTCTCTTTTTTTTTTTTTTTTTCTTTCTTTTCTTATTTTCTTTCTTTCTTTTTTCTTTTTTTTTTTTTCTTTTTTCATTTCTTTCTTTTTTCTCCCTCTTTCCAATTTTTATTTATCTTTTATTTTTTTCAATTTTTCTCTTTTTTGGTCATTTTTTCTTTCTTTCTTTTTTTCTTTTCTTTTCATTTTTTTTCTTCCTTTTTTTTTTTCTTTTCTTTCTTTCATTCTTTTAATTTTCATCTCTTTGGTTTTTTTGAATTTTTCTTTTTTGCCTTCTATCGAATTTCTTTCTTTCAATTTTTTTCTCTTTTCATGAAACATTTTCTTTCTTTTTTTCTTTCTTTCTTTCTTTCTTTCTTTCTTTCTTTCTTTCTTTTCTATTTCTATCATTTTGATATATCATATTTTCTCTCACTACCTTTTCTATTTTTCTTTTTTAGTCTCATTTGTTCTTTCTTTCTTTCTATCTCTCTCTTTCTTTCTCTCTTTCTTTCTTTTAATTTCCCTCTCTTCATTTACATTTTCTTTCTTTCTTTCTTTCTTTCCTTCTTACAATTTTATTCTCTTCGGTTACATTTTCTTTCTTTTTTTCTTTCTTTTTCTTTCTTTCTTTCTTCTTTCAATTTTCGTTTCTCCAGTCACATTTTCTTTCTTTCTTTTCTTTCTTTCTTTCTTTCTTTCTTTCTTTCTTTCTTTCTTTCTTTCTTACAATTCTATTCTCTTCAGTTATATATATATATCTTTCTTTCTTTCCTTCTTTCTTTCTATCTTTCTTTCTTTCTTTTGTATTTCTATCATTTTGATATATCATATTTTCTCTCACGATGTTTTCTATTTTTATTTTTTGTCTCATTTGTTCTTTCTTTCTTTCTTTCTTTCTTTCTCTCTCTCTCTTTCTTTTAATTTCCCTCTCTTCCTTCACATTTTCTTTCTTTTTTATTTCTTTCTTTGTTTCTTTTTTTTTGCGTATATTTTTCTTAATTATTTTTGCGCTTTTCTGATTAAAAATTAAAAACAAGCATTTTTTAATTTATTATCTGTCGACATTTTTTTCTTAACATTCTTTCTTTTACTTTTTTGCTTTCTTTCAGTCTCACTTTTCTGTTCGCTATCATGGGCGACCTTAATGCCAAAGTAGGCAAGGAGAGAGCAGGGAAGGTAGTTATACAAATTCGGACTAGGAAAACGCAACGATCCCGGAGGAAAAAAGAGTTCAATGGTGTACGAGAACATCCAAGACAATTATGGACATGGAAAAGACCAGAAATAGAAACTTAAAACCAAATTGACTAAATAACCATTAACAAAATATTCAGGAATGCAGTTGTTCTCTGCAAAACCTATCCAAGTGTCGACTGTGGAAGCGAGCACCTCCCTGTTATATGTAAGCTAAGAGTGTAACTATGGAAACTGGAGAAGCCAAACGCAACAAACAGACTCATTAATGACCAGAACCTGAAGGAAACATATATGGACAATGTGAAAAGAAGATACGAGGGACAAAATGGAAATGGAAACTCAAAAAATGGGAGACACTAAGAGAAGCTTTAGTGACATCAGGAAACTACATCATCCCAAAGGAAAATGGATGAGGAAGAAAAAAACGATAAGATTCTCGACATGATGCAAAGCAGACAGTAAACAATGCCAAGACATGGAACAGAATAGAGAAAACTGCACACTTAAATAAGGAACAAATGCAGGCAGGCTAAAAAAGAATGTTTGAAGGAAGAATGAGCAGAAATAGAGAGAATGAGTAACACAAATAAAGGATATATATATATATATATATATATATATATATATATATATATATATATAAGGAGCTAACAGGACTGAAGACATGCTTATCAAAAGGCCGCATAAAATCCAAGGACGGAACGCTTATATTAGAGAAATAAAAATTCAGCGTTCAAAATAATATATCGGAGGAGTCTTCCTCAACAAAAGAGAACAACCGACAATACAAAGAATTACCGATGGGCTGAAAATTCTAAAAAAACTGAAGTGGAAGCTGCACTGAGCAAATTGAAAAGAGACAAAGCGGCAGGGCCAGTCGGAATTGCAATAGACATAATAACAGCCTTGGGCGATTTCGGTATAGACAAGATTGCAAAAATAATAAATGAAACCTACAACAGTGGTGAAATACCGGAAGACCTAAGCAGATCTATTTTCATAGCACTGCTTAAGAAACTTGGCATAAACGAATGTGAACTCCATTGAACTATCAACGATGCCACATAACAAAACTCATCACCCGAATTCTGACGAATAGAGCGCGCAGCAGAATCAAGGCAAAGAATTGTAAAATTTAAAGACATCGGAACAAGGAACGCGATATTTATGTTATTATCTTCTTGTTTATAGTTAGCACTTACTTCTTGCTTGCTTTTAATACTTTTTCTAAGTTATTTCAAGATTTTAATTTTGTAGAGAATGGAAACAGTAAGAAAACTTATACTAAACATCAGGAAGAGACAGTTGAAATTCCTGGGTTACGTAATGAGGAAAGAGGGCTAGGAAAATTTGACATTCCCAAGCCGGACAGAGTGAAAGAGGGACAGGGGAAAGCAACGCGTGACATAATTAATTGACTTGAGCAAGTAGATAGCAGACAAAAGCTCTAGGAGAAATAACAAAAAAGACTAAAAACTTATGAAGAGCTACAAAGTAACAGGAGAAGGTGGAGGGCCATGATCGCCTATGTCCTGAAGGGACACGACACATAAAAGGAAAAGATATACTCTATTGTTTATTTCTTTTTTTCTTTTGCATAGTATTTCGAAAATTTCTCTTTTTTTACTTTTTTCATTTTTCTTTCTTTTTGCCAAATTTATTTTCTCATATATTTTTCTTGTTTTTTTTAATTTTTATTTCCCATTTTTACGTCGTTGTTTTTGTTATTCGATCAAAAGTTAAAAACGAAAATACAATTTTCGTTTTTCTTTCTTTTTTTTTTGCCAAATCCTATTTCTAATATAGTTTTTTTCTATTTTTACATCGTTGATTTTTTGTACTTCGATCAAAAACGAAAATAAATTTTACATTTTTCTTTCTTTTTTGCCATATTCTATTTCTAATATAGTTTTTCTTATTTTTTAAAATTTTTATTTCCCATTTTTACGGCGTTGATTTTTGTCCTCCGATCAAAAACAAAAAGAAATTTTACATTTTTCTTTCTTTTTTGCCAAATTCTATTTCTAATATAGTTTTTCTTCTTTTTGAAATTTTTATTTCCCATTTTTACTCTCCTTTTTTCGGTCAATAATGTAAAAGAAAATACCTTTAAGAATTTATTATCATTTTTATGAAAAACTGATTTTCTCATAGTTTTTCATTGTCTTCTCTGGTGAATATAATTTATTATCTTTTGAGAGGAGTAATGCATCTATAAACAGAATCCTACCTACACATGTTTCTGAACGCTGCTTTTATATAGGTGAGTTGAGTTGATGATCAGGCTGGGGCTTCTTTTCGGCCTGTAAGTGGGTAGGTGCGTCGGTGCCCATGTGTTTGTTAGTAAAAATGCTTTACGTTTTGTCTGCGTGTTTAATACGCGCGCGTTAAAAAAGGGAAAAAAAGACTTTGGAGTCAGAAGATTTATTCCATGTGTCAAGATCAGGAGACAAAACAAAAGAAAGGGATGAGAAAGAAAATTGGTTTCAAAGAAAAAGGACGATGCGTTGGCTGTTGTAGGACTGAAGGAAATAACAAAAAATAACTTCATAAGAAAGAAAGAAAGAAAGAAAGAAAGAAAAGAAAGAAAGGAAAAAGAAAGGAAGGAAGGATTGAAGAAAGAAAGAAAAAGAAAGAAAGAAAGAAAGGAAGGAAGGAAGGAAGAAAGGAAGGATGAAAGAAAGGAGGAAGGTAAAAAATATAAGATTGAAAAAGAAAGAAGGGAAAATTAGCAAAAAAATAAAAAATAAATAAAGACACAAATGACCGAGAAAGAAAGAAACACAAAATAAGTGTGTGTGTGTGTGTGTGTGTGTGTGTGTGTGTGTGTGTGTGTGTGTGTGTGTGTGTGTGTGTGTGTGTGTGTGTGTGTGTATAGATAGATACATAGATACATAGATACATCAAATTAAAGAAAAGAACAGATTAAGTAAAATTGCACTTTTCGTAGCATTTACTTTTAAAAAATGCTCAACACAAAGTAGTCCAATTATTATTATTATTATTATTATTATTCTAAGAAATTTTAATAAAAACATGGTGGAATCGCTACACAAACACTTCCATGTTTCAACATTTGATTGTACTTCATCAGGCAATGATAAGTAACTAGTGATTAAAAAATTTTAAGGAAGTTTAAAAACAAATGGTTACCTATTTTCCAAAATTAAGGGAGAGGGAACATAAACTCAGAATTAAAAATAGACCTGTAGGTGTGTCTTGATTAACCAATAAAATGTCAGATTTTCGATAAAAAGAAAAGTTAGCTCAGAGGATGGAGGTAGGTAAGTTTATAAACTGGTTTTATATATCGATATCTGATGTTTTGTTTTTTTTATTGCTGTTTCGTGTATTGTTTTTTTTTTTTAATTGGTGTGCATTTGAATTTGGTATATATATCAATAAAATTATTGCTAATATGCTTATAAATATGGTTTTTATAATGAAATTTTTTGTTGTTTAAATCAAATATGATTTACTTGCCGTCTATGTAAATTAGTTTAATTGGTTGGTTGCTTTAGCTTAGTGACATGGTTTGGGTTACTTAATGCCGATATCTAAATATTTTGTACGTAATTTTATCCTTTCACTGTGAATGGATTTCGTTTTTAGATATACAGTTTGTTGATCATAAAATGTATTGGAAATTTTAATGTAAAAGTTATGTTATATTTTTAGTGCGACTTTGATTGTCATTTTAAAAAAAATTCTGTTGGATGGGGGCACTATTTGCCCATAGCTTGACCATTCAACCCCGGATGAAAAGTCGGGGTTGTAAAATGTTTAACCGCGTAGTTTTGGCAGAAATTTTAAAATTCACTAGGAGAAAATTATGTTCGATTAATGGATAGCACACTGTCAGGTAATTCAAACCTTGCAAAATTCAATCTAATCGTTATTGTTGTAGAAGGTCATTTACAATTCAATATCTCATGCTGTCTTGTGAAACTGTCGACTACAGTTAAATAGTATAAACCGTTTACTGGCCGAGCAAATTCCATATGTTGTCTTGCTTGTGGTTTATCAGTTTATGGCCATGCCTGATAATTTGTAGGTGGAGATTTTGCTGCTAATTTACAACCATTATGTTTTCTAATTGTATTTTGGTTATCTTCGTCCAACATTGGCCAATACACTTAGATTCTCAACAAAGACTTCATTCATACTATTCCCGAATGTTCTCCGAAGAATTGTTTCAAAATCCTTCTTTTTATCATTTCACCCCAAGCAAGACAATGAAGTCACTAAGACGCAAAGGGTGTGGAATGATATGAGAAAAGAAAAAAAACACTATTAAAGACAGAGAATAATAATCGAACATGGACTAAGAAGAGAAACGATAAAACTGGATATTGCATTTAAATTTTTGAAGATCAAAGCAAGATGCCAGAAGAGAATTCCACAAGCGAGGATTAAAAGAGAAAATATTAACTTACGGTAAAATGATGAGACCTTGCAGCCAATCTAGTACTGCGCTAAAGCCCAGTTGCCAAAGTGGAAAGATTTATGAGAACAATTATTAAGAAAATATTTATAGAAAATACACATCAAAGCAACGTTACGGCAGTGAAAAATTGACTGATACCGAAATGTCTGGTCAGGACTAATAACATTGCAGATTCTTCATTGTAATTTATCAAAAAATTTTAAATACATAGCAGAAGCACCGGAGTACATGTGGTAGCAATATTCATTGATTTGTTTGTTTAACGAAAATTCAAATC